CTCCGAGCGTGATTTCTTCACGCCGGAACGTCATCGAGGATATTACTTCCGCGAGATGCGCGGTTTCTTTGTACTTGTTCGTCGGGGTTTTTTTTTTTTTTTTTTTTTCGTTTAACACATTCGTCCCGTCATGATTCACGGATGACACAATGCTCGGTTACGCGCGTATACTTAGATTACGTACGTCAACCGGCGATTGTCCTTCGAATTGTTACTCTTACGGTCCCGCAAGTCCTCTCCCTCTCCTGAAAAGAAGGGTCCATCATTCATCAGATTTCCGACGAGTATGCAGATTTCGATGGGAAACCAGTATCTCTGAGTATCTCTTTCGGATCTTCGATACTCGTAGTTTTCTTACATTGTATTATTATATATATATATATATATATATATATATATATATATAAAATGTGATTTATATATATACAGAATTATAATGTTAAGACCAAAGCCGATTTATTTGATTTGAGAAAAGACAATTAAGGAATGTTTTACTTTTTATTGTATAAAATGTAAGGTTAAGACTTAAAATACAATATGTCAAAGTATTAGTATTTTATAAATTTTGTTTTTTTATATTCTTTTTACTTTCAATAAAAAACTTGTATGTCTTATTTCTCCATTTGTAAAATAGTGGTTTTTGAAAATTACGTAAATATTGGAAAAGATGTGACCACGAGAAGAATGTTGTTCCTTATTTAATCTATTTTGTCATCTATTCTGACTATTATACAAAAATATCGGCGTGTACAGCGACCGATGTCTTTCAACAAAAGCACTGAAAATTATGTTGATTATTTTGACGTGCGGTTGTAACGAAGCGTGTCTATCTCTGCGCTGCATAATTTTCACTGCTAGTGACGCAACAGAATAGGCACGCGATTTGCTACGTTCGCGATTTAAATAAATCTATTTACGTATCTCAATTTTAATAAAACTATTTGACATACAACTGAAAACACTTCGCGTTGATACGTCCGCCGAGAGATAAATTATGATGAATAAAAATACTTTGATCCTCTTTTAAAAAACATAACAGCAATAATTATGGAATATTTATTTTCGCCATATGTTTAATCGGACGACGTATACAATTTTTAATTACAATATATTTTTTTTTTTAGTAAATTGATTAGTATCGACTTTAAACGGACCCCATATGCTTTTTATTCGTGAAAAAGTCGGCGGTAAAATTATCGCGGACGCGAGTAGCAATCGCTTTTTATCGCACGAGAGATATGGCGATTGTTCAGAGAATCACACTCAATAAAGAACCGTCGGGCATATAGTGAAGTAAAATCGACTATATATTACGTTCGTCTTGATATTTTTTTTTCATCGTGAATGCAAAATATTTAATAATTTTTATTATCTTAATATTTATTATTTAATCTCTGAACTTTTAATACATTATAAGTTAAGCAAATAAAATAAATTTAAAATAGGTTTTAATATTTAATAAATTTTAAATAAAATAAAAAAATATGTAAATATGTATATTATGAATTAGCATTTGGATTATGTCAGATGTTTTATAAAAAAATATGTTCATGGATTAATATTAATTTGAATATTAATTACATAAGTATAAAATTGAAAGAATTGCGAAGTCACAAAAATAATACGAGTTTGCATATAGTTGTTTTAATTATTTTTGTTTTATTTAAGTGATACAATCTAACAAGCATAGATTTTTGCGAGATTTTGTTTGCCTCAGCAAAAATGTTTATTTTATCCCTTACTATACTATAATATACGTGTATACGTGCGTGTTCGTTGTATCCATACTATTTCTAAATATTCATGCAAAAATTACTTTCCTTAAAGCAATTTAATATTATTATTCTCATTTAAATTATCTATTTTACGATCTAAGAAATGGATAGGAACTTTCATGGAATTTATTTTATTTAAATTGCGTTACCTATATAGAAGATGTAAGTAGTACATCAAGGAGAGAGTTATCAATGACAATTAACTCCGATTACTCTTCCTTAAGAACAGCGCAACGCGCGCGCGTAATTACTCGCTCTTTTTCGATCGCAGCGAAAGATCGTCCGTCATTCGCGGTAATCATTCGTAATTAGCATACACGCCTGGCGACTGATTAATATTTTCGTATTCACTCGCGCGGATTATTACATATAACGAGGCGCCAGCGTCTCGCCGTAGACCCGCTTTAAGGATTACGCAGCCTTGCCGTTCTCTCTCTCTCGAAAGGTTGCCGTTTGTCACGCTGTGTTCACAACGATCACGGATTCTTGTTTGCGCCAGCGGTAGCTCCGAGAAAGTCATAAAATACGCAAAAATATGTTCTAATAGCGTATTGCAATATCGCATTGATATTACTTACATATTCTGTGCATGCTGCATGGCTAAAAGTGTTCTCTGAATTAATGAGAGAAACGTGAGTTAAATTAATTGAGTTGATTCTTTAGACATTATCATTAGACAAGCGATTCTTTTCATCTTTATTCTCTCTGTTTTTATGTATTACGTCTATTTATCATTTATGAGAAATCTAATGTAACAATGACATAGAAGTGATAAAGCAAGATATGAAAAATGGTATAAATTTAAACTTATTTTTTGAAAAAAAAAGATTATCTTTTTTTATAAAAAGAATATATATATATATATATATATATATATATA